CAAGCACAGACACGCTGTGCAGCCAGCCCGGGGTCACGCGGTGTGGCCGGAGCAGCTGGCACTAGGGCAGAACTGACCCTGAGGAGAGTTGGGGGGGGGTCCTCACACTCGCCAAGTGCGAGGACCTTGGAAGGGGGCATCTGTGGTGGCAGGGGCCGGGTTGCCCCCCCAGCCTGCTTCTTTGGGGTGGCCAGGGTCCCTCCCAGGTGGGCCCTGGGACCAGCCTTGGCTAACCCCCGCTCCCACTCAGACCTTGGCTAGAGGTGCCAGGAGTGCTGATGGACGTGACCCCACCCTCACCTCCCCAGGCATGTTCATGCGGGGTGACCCAGACCCCAGCTGGGCCGTTGTCCCCACCCCACGCAGATGAGGCCATGGTCAGCCCCTCTTGGCCCTGAATACTGGGCTGGGCCCCGGGACACCCCGGGAAAGTCCCCTGGGAACGTCCCCTGGTGCCAGTGGGCCCTGCACTGTGGTTCTTTCAGGGCGATCGACCAAACCCGAGCCTCCTTTGCCTTGGTTTCCTCAACCCGGAAGTGAGGTGGCCAAGAGTCCGGCACCCCCTCAGGTCAGTCGAGCCAAACAAAGGAGGCCTTGCCAGCTGGGAGCAGGCTGCTCCTGCCGCAGGAATGTGGGGGGGAGTCACCCGGGAGGAGGGGTGGCCCCGGGTGGAGAGCAGCCCCAGCCTGGGCCTCCCCTGGGGGGCGCGGGCATGTACCAGGCTCGAGTTGGGAGCTGACGCCTTACTTCACAGCGTCTCACTGCCCCATTTCTCGTGCCGTAAGATGAGGCCCAATGGCAAGGGTGGGTCCCCCACCTGGTGCCGCCACAGGATCTCCGCAGGCCGCCCCACTAGTCCTGACACCGGCGAGGACGCGGAGAGAGAGGATCTCTTTGGCACTGCTGGTGGGAATGCTGGCTGGTGCGGCCACTCTGCAAAACGGTATGGAGGCTCCTCAAAAAATTAAAGGTAGAACTACCCTACAACCCAGCAATGGCACTGCTAGGCATTTACCCAAGGGATACAGGTGTGCTGTTTCGAAGGACACGTGCACCCCCATGTTTATAGCAGCACTATCGACAACAGCCAAAGTATGGAAAGAGCCCAAATGTCCAGCGATGGATGAATGGAAAAGAAGATGTGGAATATATACACGATGGAGTATTACTCAGCAATCAAAAAGAATGAAATCTTGCCATTTGCAACTACGTGGATGGAACTGGAGGGTATTATGGTCAGTGAAATTAGTCAGAGAAAGACAGATATCATAGAACTCCACTCATATGAGGACTTTAGGACACAAAACAGATGAACACAAGGGAAGGGAAACAAAAATAATATAAAAACAGGGAGGGGGACAAAACACAAGAGACTCTTAAAGACAGAAAACACACTGAGGGTTGTTGGAGGGTTGTGGGTGGGGGGATGGGCCAAATTAGTGATGGGCATTAAGGAGGACACTCGTTGGGTTGAGCACTGGGTGTTATACACAGGGAATGAATTACCAGAATCTACTCCTGAAATCATTATTGCACTATATGCTAACTAACTTAGATGTAAATTTAAAAATTAATTAAAAGAAAGGAAGAAAGACAAAGACAAAGGAAAGGTCCATCCAGGGGTGCCTGGGTGGTTCAATTTGTTAAGCGACTAACTTCAGCTCGGCAGCTCAGTCATAATCTCGCGGTTCATGAGTTCCAGCCCTGCATCGGGCTCTCTGCTGGTCAGCACAGAGCCCACTTCAGATCCTCTGTCTCTCTCTCTCACTCTGCCCCTCCCCTGCTCTCCCTCTCTCTGTCTCCTAAAAGTAAAAATAAACATTAAAGGGGTGCCTGGGTGGCTCAGTCGGTTAAGCGTCCAACTTCGGCTCAGGCCATGATCTCACAGTTGATGAGTTCGAGCCCCGCATCAGGCTCTGTGCTGACAGCTCGGAGCCTGGAA